TGGATTTTACTACTTTCTTCTTTTATGTAAATTTTTAGAGCAATACATTTTCCTCTAATCACTGTTGAATCATACAATTTGGTTATGTTGTGGTTTCTTTATCATTCAGTTTGAAATATTTTTTCATTTACCATGTGATTTCTTCTTTTTGTTCATTGATTATTTAGGAGTATATTGTTTAGTTTCTAAATATAGGGTATTTTCCTACATACCTTGTTATTTCTAGTTTAGTTTCATTGTCAAAGAGAACCTATTCTGAATGAGTTCAGTCATCTAACACTTACTGAGGCTTGTTTTATGACCTGTCATATGGTCTTTCTTGTTGAAAGCATATGCACACCTAAAAGGAATATGTATTCTGTAGTTTGAAGTGTGGTGGTCTTTAAATAGCACTTAGGAGTTCAGATAATTTATGTTTTTACTTATTTTCATGTCTACTTCTATCCACTGCTGAGAGAGGGATGTTACATTTCAAGTATGATTAGGGATTATCTATTTCTTTAATTCTGTCAGCTGTTCTTCAGATATTTTGAAGCTCTATCACTAAGCAAATATGTATTTATGATTCTTACATCTTCCTAATGAACCAGTCCTTTAATCATTATGAACATTCCCTTTTTCTCTATTAATGCTCTGTCTTAATATATATTTTATCTAATGGTAGTAAAGCCAGTCTAGTGTTATGCTTACTGTTTTTGTGGTTTATATTTTTCCATTCATTTGCTTTCAATCTGTCTGTATTCTTAACTTATGTCTCTTAGAGATAACATGTAGCTGGGTCTTAGTCATTTATCCATTCTGGTAATCACTGTCTTTTAATTGAAGTGTAATATCCATTAACATTTGATGTTATTATTAATATGGTTAAATTTAGGTCTACCCTTGTATGGTTTGTTTTCTGTTTTTGTTCTTCTCATTGTGTTTTCTTGCTTTCTTTTGGATTTTTGAAACATTTCCTTGAATCCCATTGTAATATATACATTGGCCTTCTAGCCCTATTATTTTGCATTATTTTTTAGTGGTTTCTGTAAGGATTATAGTATGTATCCTTAAATTTTCAGTCTACTTAAAATTAACTTTTACATAAAGTGTAGATAGCTTGAAACTATATAGGTCAATTGACCCTCTTTCCATATCCTTTATGTTTTAGTTGTCATATGTATATAATTTATATATGTTATAAACACTGCAAGACAGCTATAATTTTAACTTAAAACTGTTTTTAAGGAAATTAAGAAGGAAAAAGATAATTTCATGTCTGTGTGCTTGTGTGTGTGTATGTAGTTTTTATGCAAGTTTGTAATAATAGTTGCTTAACTCTAAATTTACTTAAGGTTGTTTACATAAACTTAAAGCAGTTAATTTTATGGTATTAAAAATTATACCCCGATAAAGCTAATAAAAACATGTCTAGGTGTCCTACGCACCCAAGTGCTATTTGCTTTTTTTTTTCATGAAGATTATTCTAAAGCCAGCAAATTATTTGCCAGTATAATATATAGCCAGCAGAATATATAGCCAGTATATTTATTTGATTCCAAGTTAAGGCCTTTTCTTTGAGAGTATGAGTTTGCTCTTTAGAGTGGAATGTCCTATTTCTGGCATAAACCATACTCATACTGTTTCACTTATAAGGTCCAGTTTCAGTCTCTTTTTAAGTGAGGAGGATAACATTTGAAGAAAGTTGAATGTAGAATCCTTTTTTTATATAGTTTTTTTATACCATTTTTAAATTGAAGTATAGTTAATTTACAATGTTGCATTAGTTTCAGGTGTATGTAAAAGTGATTCAGTTATATAAATATATCAAATTTATATATATAAGTGTGATATATTTGTATAACTGAATCACTTTGATATATATACACACATATATGTTTATATATATATTCTTTTCCAGATTCTTTTCCATTATACATTATTATAAGATATTCAATACCATTCCCTGTGCTATACAGTCAATCCTTATTTTTTAATCTATTTTATATATAATAGTATATATCTGTTCCTGGAGTAGGAAATGACAACCCACTCCAGTATTCTTGCCTGGCAAATCCCTTGGAAAGGGAAGCCTGGGCCGACTGTGGTCCATAGGTCTCAAAGAATCAGACACTACTGAAGCAACTTAGCATGTATGCAAGTATGTATCTGTTATTTCCAAACTTCTAATTTATGCCTCCCCACCCCTTACCATTTGGCAATCATAAGTTTGCTTTCTATGTCTGTGAGTCTTTTTCTGTTCTGTAAATAAGTTCATTTGTACCACTCAGTCTGCTATTGAGGAAAATTTTCCGAGTGAGGCTTGGCCTTTAAGGATGGGAATTAGCTCTCAGAACAGGAATGTGCATTTCAAGTAGTGGGGAGAGAATGGGCTCACCTTTTACTGCAAGATTGCTAATCCTCTGAATGTCTGCTGACCCCTTCAAAATTGCCTTATATGTATGTGCATTTGTTCTTGCATTCATTTGTTCATTTCTTCAAAAGTGAAACTCTCACCCTGTTTTTCCCATGCTTTTTGATAGTGATTATTGTTTTTTTAAAAAAATCACTTACCTATAGGCAGCAGAAATGGATGAATGAAAGCAAAGCCCATCTTCTCTGTTCTTTCGCACTATCGCTAGAAATGTTATCAAATAACATTTCAGAGAAGTACAATAATGACCACCATTTGTTGAGCACTTATGCTAGACACTTGCTTAATGTTTTATACACATTTTTTCACTTAATGAATCCATGCAGCCACCCTGTAAGGTCAGAATTAGGATTTCCATGTGCAGATGAGGAAACTGAACCTTGGAAAAGTTAAGTAAATTGCCAAAATCGTCACTGTTGGAGTTGATGAACCAGAATTCAAAGCCATGTTTCTCTAACTTAGAAAACCTGTCTCTTAACCATTATACTAAGATAGGTGATTGTGAAGATTTCCTCTGAATCATGGAAGGACGTTTGGATACTTTTTTCCTTACAGTTCTCCTAGATAATTATGTTTTAATACCCAAAGATAATTGGAAAATTGTATTGAGGTTTAAATATGTCATTGATAGTTATGTAGCTCATATTAAATTTAAATTATATGGATTTTTTTCACTAGATTATAGTTCCCATAAGACATGCCAGTCAAACAAACGACAAGAGAAGGTTTCCATCACCCCATACCCTCCTTCCACCACTTGCCCTGCTTTTCATTAGTTGATTAGCACCCTCAGCAATAGTGCAGATTCTTAACAGTCTTCTAAAAATGTTCTCTTTTATCCAACCTCCAGTGCATAACCTGTTGAGACACTTTTCTGGCCGCAGGTGTCCTTGGGAGGCTTGTGCCCTGGCAGTCTCCCGTTACCTCTGTTGCGTTCCCAGCCCACCCACACCACTGCCACCCCCACATCTCCTGCCCAAGACACGCACATACACATCCCCATTTTCTAGTTTCACAGAACTCAAAACTCCTTAAACCTGCATTTTATAAACTGCGGTGGCTTTGCTCTTGCTATTCCAGTGCCCTCCCTGTTTATCTTCTGTTCTCAACCTGGGAAAATCCTTCTTATTCCCCAAGGGGCAGTATAAATGCCACGCTATCTGTGGAGCCTTCTCCCCTTCTCCAGGAGAGGCTGTGTTTATCACTTTTCTTCTGACTCTCCGAGCATTCCGTGTATGTCTTTGGTAGCACCCTTAAGACATTTAGGCACAGTTCACTTTCTATCTAGTTCCCCTCTCCAGAATGGGAGCTCCTAGGATAGATCATGAGGAGTTTTTTGTCTATTATCTTCAGTGCCCTCAGGTAAGAGCTTCTTAATGAATCACACTGAATTGTTAGTGATGTTGATAATAACCTTTATTAAGTGCATTCTGTGTCTTAGGCACTGTGCTTGACATTTGTACACATTATTTCACTTAATTTCATGCTTACCCTATATTATAAGGAGAGTTTTTACCCCCATGTTACTAATTAGAAAATTGAAGTTAAGAAAGGCAAAATAATTTGACCAGGGCAGGACAGCAAGCAAGTAATAGAGTCAAGATTTGAACCAAGTGTCTGACTCCAGAGCTCATTCTCCTTTATACCTATAGGATCAATCAGTCAATCTATCCATTAATCAAATAAGTTCCCGGGGAGTTATCTCCAGCTAAGAGATACAGTCTCTATTGAAACCAATCCTGAATGACTAAAGAGGAGGACATCAAAGATACTGTCACCAAAAGGATAAGTGAGGTCCCTTGGAGAAGGCTTGAGTGTCATTTGAAAAATCTTGTTTGGTCACAAAAAGAGGCTCAAAGAAATCTACTGTGATCACTGATAAAGTTAGGCTCACAGAATACAGTACCTGGAAAAATCACCATCACACATCGCTTTTGTGAAGGGTGGATGAGAAGTAGAGAAATGTCATTGTTTGGAGAATGGTGTGGCTCATCAAATGCCAGAACTGTCCTTTTTCAAAGAGGATCGAGGTCCAGATCAATTAACTGGCTTGCCCAAGGGCTCATAGCTAATAAATAACGGAACTTGGACTAGAATTACAGTTTCCCGAGTCCCAGTTTAGAGCCTTTTGCATAGCGTGCTCTCTTTTAAAGCTTCTGTATTCATGTTTGGAGGGAAAAGATGCTAGGCCGAGGCTGAAGTCAGCCTTTGAGGGGAACAGCTTGATGCTTTTGGAGCTGGTCAGCTTTTTCCGGAGACCCGCTGCTATTTTGGGCTCTCACTTTGCTCAAAACTAAATACTGCCAGCCATACAAATAAAGGGCAAGGCTATTATTTAGGCCTCCTAGGTCTATGCATTCACTTCTCTGCTTGCAAGGGCAAATTATTAGTTCATCTCTGCTGGGCAGTTTGAACATAGGATTATATTAGCCCTTGTCTTAGCACTTAGATGTCGGCTAGCTTGTCTCTGTTGTAATAAATGTACAAGCTTTGCTTTCAGATTGGGAGAGAAGAGGGAAAACAAAAACATCTCCATCAGTCTCTACTGATCCTGATTTCTTATGTTGTTTCTTTCTGTTTCTTTCAGGGCGACGAGGAAGGACCCGGGTAAGATCACATTACTGTTGCTTATGTGTTCTCAGAATTGAAGTAGAGCGACACTTGTGGCCTTTGAAGGCCCCATGAAATATGCCAGCCAAGGAGCAGCACAGATAAGGGATCTCCATCTTAAGCTAGGGGCTTTGCAGATCTTATTTTGTAAGATTCCCATCTCCCCCCCATCTATGCCATTTCCTGTCTGTAACCTTCAGATAAAGATAAGCTTTAAAGTATACAATGACAGTAACTCTGCTTTATTCTGTAGCACATTCCGAATACCTTGTTAAGACCAGTAGGTACTATATTTAAATGGTAATTAGGTATCAGGTGGGCTGAATAGATAAACTTTTGCACTGTTCTTTCTTGATTGGAATGGGATTGCTTTTTTAAAAAAAATTTCAATGGACTCTGGATCCAATATTCTTTATTTCTGACCTATAACCTTGTGTCTGACTCAAGACAGCTACACAGTGAACCCAAGGTCATAGGTATACAACACTTTGTTTAGGAAGAAAAAAATGCTTCTTTGTGCTGTTGTTTCACCACATGAGATTTAAAAGTGCATTTTTTCCATTGCCTATGCTTCTTAGTAAACCTGGACTTTGGTTTACTTACCTTTGCTTCTTTCTGCTCAGCAGCGAGAACAGGCTCTAAGCAATGCGGTAGCTCTGCTGTGAACACAATCAAGGGGCATTTGTACAAAGTAAAATGCAATGTCCAGATGGGCCCCCTCTGTCACATAGGATCCAGGACTGTTAAGGCTGGGAGTTGTCAGAAAGATCATCCAGGCCACTGCTATTCAACTTCAGTTTTAGTAGAAACAGCTTTTTTTTCAGATGGGCCTTGGGTAGAGTGTATACAAAACATTTTTTGTCTGGTTAAAGTTGGGGCCACATCTACTGGTGAAACTTCTCTATTCCTTACAATAGTCCCCGAGGGGCTGCTGCAAAAACCCAGGGTTCCTGAGGACTCAGTTTGAAAATCACTCATCTAATGCAAGCCTCTCATTGAAAGAAGCTAAATGAGTTGCCCAAGGTTACCTTACTAGAGCCAGGATTTGCTCCTTCTTTGCTTTTGTTTACAAATACGGTTCCTTCTTTTTCCTTTCTCCCTCCACACATCCTGAGCCCGTCTTGGTGCCAGATGTTATCCCACATCTGTATCTCCTGCTGCTTCCTTCCTTGGGACTGTAGTTCTCAGCCTAACTCTCATTCCTTGTCCTCTGTGGCTAATGGTACAGGCGCCCCCGCTTTAAACCCAGGGGATCCCTTCAGATCCCATCCTCCAGCCATCCTCAGGAACAGGCTCGCTTTGTGTGGTGGTTCATTTCTTTCCTTCCTTCCTCTCTCCCTCTTTTTCTCATGACCCTACCGTGTGTCAGGCACTGTGCTATACACTGGGCATGTGTGGAAACTAACAGACAATGGTCCCTGCCCTTGCGAGTCCTCAGTCTAGTAGGAGACAGGCACATGACCGGGCACTTGCAGTCTGGAGGCAGTGCTGCGATTAAGTGAAGTTCAGTCTGCTTTAGGACGGGCTCCTGAGACAGTCTTGGAGAATAAGGGGAGGCTAACCAGAAAAGGTTTTCTGTAAACGGAGGTCTGAAGGATGAGGAGGCAGTCAGAGGAGAGGCAGAGACAGGGCTGTTACAGGGACAGGGAACAACTTGGGTAATGGCTCTAGACAAGAGAGGAGTGGAGGACAGAAAGCAGAGTCCAGCTCACGGAGGGCCCTTATAGGCCTCCTGAAGTGGGAGGGCATTAAATAACTTAAAACATGAATTAACCTGAGTAGATTTGCATTTTGGAAGTCTCGTCTGCATGCTCATCTGCATGCAGAATGGGAAGTGGATGGGAGGTGTTTCAGAGCCTGGGAGACTAGTAAGATCAGGCTCGTGATGTTGGGAGCCTATATCAACATCTTCTCTAGTTATTGACCAAGTTTTCACCATTTTACACAGACCTCTGGTTTAGACAAACTCATCAGATTATCTGTAAACCTTTGGTTTAGACAAACTCCACCTCTTCTCTCAAAACTAGCTCTGGCTCCTTAAAATTCAGACAAAGCAGAGTCGTAGACATTTTCTTCCCCAGAGAGAGGATTCAAGCAAGACCAATATAAAGAAAACACTTAAGTCTATGTAGTGTACATATTGTGCATATAGAAATGGCGTTTCTGTCTTGTGAGCACCTGGTTAGGATGGACATGTTCATCTTGTCTTTATGACCACATGCCAGAGTCATGTTGACCTTATGAAGGGACCTAATGAAGAGATTAACTCCCTTCAGAGATACTGTTCAGTATGAGATACTGGCTTCAGAGTTAATTGCAGATTCCTTCCTGTCATTTTGACAAGATAGTGGTAAAGTGTTTAGAGTTTCTCTGGGCTTCCCTCGTGGCTCAGTGGTAAAGAATCCACCTGCCAATGTAGGAGATGTGAGTGCGATCTCTGGGTCCAGAAGATCCTTGAAGGAGGGAATGGCAACCCATTCCAGTATTCTTGCCTAGAGAATTCCAGGACAGAGGAGCCTGGCAGGCAGCAGTCCATGGGGTCTCAAAAGAGTCAGACACAAGTTAGCAACTAAACAACAACAAATAGGGTTTCTTTACTAGCAACCAAGATATCAAGCTTTCTCCCTCAAGCCAAGCTGCCTGCCATGGATGTCAGTAGGGATCTGTTGGACCGGGACTTATTTGGTGAAATGAGCACTTGAAAAAAGCGTGTTCCAGTATGGCAGAAAGAGGAGTCAAATTTTCCTTTTACCTTTTAAATTCCTACCTGGTTCCATTCAGTTTGTGTTGAACTACCATTTGGCTCAATTTATTCCAATTAACACCTCAGGGCAGATTGCCTTTGATCTGAAATTTCTCACATTTATGATATACACTTTACCATCTCAGTAAGCCAGAGTTTTGTTCCAAAGGCTTCTGTATTGCTGACGGTGCAAAATGAGAGTTTGATGTGTGAGGAAGACAGAAGGAAGTGTGGGTCTCGCCGCACAGGGGACGGAAGAGACATGAATCTGGAGACGCTGTGTTCCAGGTCTGCTCGGGAGTCTCACACCTGTGTCTCCTTTGCTAGTAGTCTCACCACACAGCTCCTTCCCCTCTCTGCACCGAAGTCCAGGGAGGTTGGGTTCCAACCACTCTCTATGGTGGTCGGAACAAAGGAAATACCCTGTCCTTTTGAAACATATTTGTCTGAAATCGATCTATATTTTCCTCCATTCCTGCCAGCTAGAGTCTCCCAGCCTTCTTTTTTCTTTTCACTTTTGACTTCCCAAGCTGGTTAGATTTGAGGTGGCCAAGTATTGTGCTTTTGGTCATGTCTGTTCCTTGTTCTGAATTCTATTGTGTACTTTTCCTGCTAGTTAACAACAATGATGATCAAAGATACCATTTTTTGAAGTTTTACTGTGCACAAGTGTTTTTTTATACACTCTCTCTTAACCCTCATGTAAAGCTTATGATGGAGCTATTACCCCACTTGTAAAAGAGAGGAAATGAGCACGCAGAAAGATTAACTTGCCCTGGATCACACAGCTAGTAGAAGCAGAGCTAGGATTTAAATCTAGTCTGGTTTCAGAGCCCACGCCCTCATCCATGATGCGGACTATCTCCCAGGGGCCAGCCCACTTCTCTCAGTAACCCTGAATGAAAGGCATGAGGATTCACACTCACTTGTCAGAGTGATCACTTTGATCTCATTCCTCTAACCTGGGAATTCTTACTTGCATTGGCATTCAAATGTTGGCCTCTGTTTTCTGTAGGCTACTTTTCCTCTCCTTAGCCTCTGTCACTTTAAGGGGCTATTTCTTCATCTCGTCCTCATACAATGTGCCCTGAGGGTCAGCAGTAAAAGGGGTGCTTTTAGACTCCCTTGGGAGCAGGCAGCCAAGCCTTCCTTTGACCCTGCAGAATCAGCTGCCATTCTTGGTAGTCCCTCTTCAAATCCATGATCCAGTTATACAGACGACAAGGATTCTTGGAGGGAGTGAAGGAACAGAAGTCCTAATATGTAGAACATGGATATTAACCACTGTGGAATCACCTTTTAAGAGGGTATCTTTAAAGCCCAGAGTGATTTTTTTTTTCTAGCCAAAGAAAAAAAAAGCAATTCACACTTTTGGCAGCAATTTTCTGTCTTCTCTGTGCTATTATGGGAGATCTTGTGTTTGCTCCCTCCAGATTGGCTCCTTCTCTATTCCTGCTGGAGCCTGCTGAGAAGTAATATATATTCAAGGAGAGGAGGCGGCAAGAGGCGCTGCTGCCTTGAAAGCTGTTGTGTAGTGGGAGGAAGTCAGACAGGGAAGGACCCTTAAACTCGTGTGTTCTGAGGAGAAAGTAGCAAGATCAATATTAAATTTTCATTTGCTATTGAGATTCTCTCTGATTTTTTTTTTTAACTAAAAGGAAAATGGCTTTTTAAATAGTAACAGCCATACGAGGATTTCTGTAGAATTTTTCATCTTCAGAGCTGGCTCTTATTCAGGCAAAGAGCTCCCGCTGAGATCAATGTGAATCTGACCATGATGATTCTGTGATCCAACAAGCAGTAGTTCTGAGGAAGTAGGAGCTCAAGGAGAGTCAGCAGACCTACCTTCTATTCTTGGGGGACCGACTGTGTGACTTTGGGCAAGTCATTTAACCTCTTTGTCTCTGTGTAGCTGGGTTTTATTTTCCTGTAAATACTAGCCCTTCTTTGCCCTTACTCTGCCCCTAGTTTTTGGGAATATAGTGTGTGCAGGAGTGCGGTCATATATCAAATGTGAAATGAAAAGAATCTGCTTATAGCAGATTATGGATTCTATAATTTGGTAGAGTTTTTTCCCCTATATTTCTCAATTTTGTTTCTTTAAAAATTTTCTTGGTTCTATATATTTTCCCCATGCTGTAAAATAACAACCATATGCCTGTCCTCAGGTCTGGCGTTTCTCTTCCTAATTACTTTTTTGTAGAGATAAGAGGGCACTAAGTCAGTGATACACTTAGGTATCTTTTATCCTCTG